AGCGCGCCCCGGCGGCGCCGGCGCCCTCGGACGACGCCGACGAGGACGACTCCTTCGTGTCGGACAGCTCGGAGCAGGTGCAGGCGTGCGGGCGCGCGTGCTTCGCGCACAGCCGYGGCTTCCCGCTCGTCCGCTACGCCTACAGCGCGCCGCGCGCCGCAGACTGAGCGCCCCGTGCCCCCTCCACGCACTTTCCGGTCTAATGTTATTATTATATTATTGTGTCTCTTTCGTGTTTTTTTTTTTTTTTTATCTAGCGTCACTTGTAAAGAAGGGAAGCGGGCAGCGATTCCTTGAGCCATGCCTTGGAAAAATAATAAATTGCCCTCTCTGTAGATAACCGCAAACCAGATTTGTTCCGCAGCGTTTCTGCCACGGTTTTTACGTGCTCGAGGCCTCTCGCCGTCTCGTGCTCCGGTTGGGTTTTGGCTGTTGGCAAGGTAAGTTGGGGGCTCCGTTTTCTTTTCCTTCCTGCCGAAGCACAATATAAAGGACAGCTCTTAATATTAAAGAAGCTATTTTTAAGCGCGCCTTTTCTACGATGGAGCCGCCAGCTCTGTTGCTAGCTTTGTATAGTGCATTCAGCGTTGAATCTCAGGATGAATTTTACTGCAGGGCCAATAAAAAAAAAACAATAAAGGGGTTAATTCTCCCACGCCGAACTGTGAGAGTGGTCCAGGGGCACCGCGTCTGGTTTGCACTTCAGGCCGACGTTCAGTTTTTTAAAGGAATTCTTGGGTTTTTCCCCGTGGAAGTGCTTCGAGGCCGAAGCGGTCTCGGTGGAAGCAGAGCATGAGCAGCTGTCGGGAGCAATGGGTTTGGGGGCGTTTTTGTGCCTTTGGTGCCTCTGGAGCACCGGCCACGCGGGCAACCCAGGCACGAAGCAGCAGAGGGGCTGGAGCTTCTCCAGACAAGGAGTATCCGTGAACAGAGGGGGATGTTTAGCCAGGGGAGGGCCAACCGAAGGCAATTTTGCAATAAAATGTGGGTGTTTTTGCCAATTATTTTACCGAGAGTGAAGTACACTGTGCACAGCCGCTGGTTTTCATGCAAACCAGGGCACTGCTTTTAAACCCTTCAAGTCCCGAGGCCCAAATCACTTATCTGCAATCAGCGGTCCGTGTATCTGCATTGAATTTGAAGTCTGATTTAACCGAGTTACAAATGCATGATCAAGTAACCGGATACCTGTCTTGGGGCAATACCTTAAATCAAGAGCAAATCTACCATCCCAGTCGACATTCTTGCAAAGATTTAAAGCTAGATTGCTGTTTTGAGAATGAAACTGTATATACTGTTCATACGATGAATTTTTATCTTTGTATTGTAAATTATTTGATAGAACACATGATGGGAAAATGTGGCTTCAGTTCATTTTGTTAATTAAAGCTACCTCCTCAACTATAGTGGCTGCCAGTAGCAGAATGTTTAAAATGTGGTTTATATACTTTTTTTTTTTGCCTTGTAAATAGACATGGTTGTATATTGTCACTGTAATAAAACCTGAATCCTTGTATATCAAAATCATGTAGTTTGTACAAAATATGGGAGGATTATTTACTGTACGCTGTTAATTTTGTAAGCCAAAATATTCATGTGTTAAAACAAAAGAAAAGAAAAAACACCCCGGAGTTGTTCATTTTTAGATTTACACTCGTAAATATTACATCTGCAGTTAGCATGGATTGTTACACAAAAAAGCAAATAAAGGGTACATGAATATTCATTGCTATTTATGTGCATTTTTTTTAAAAAAAAAAGGTAAGGTGAAAAATGTGCAAATAGATTTAAAACAAAAACCCTGTAGTTGGTCCTGTCATCTGCTCTCTGCTACATGGGGTTAGAGTTTGGGGGAAGAATTGCCAGCAAGGTAAGAGAGTTTTRCTGGTTTATATGTGGATTTACGATCTCAGACTGATACTTGGGGGATGTTAAACATTGAGATGTGTTGGCCCTCTTAGAAAGTGATTAGTTTTTTAATCATTACTTATAGAATTTAAGCTCAAATGTTTTCAGTACGGCTCTGAAAGTTGCCAAGAGTCTCGTTTTTAAAAAAGTACCTCCATGCCAAGATTCACCCTCTTTTTTTTAATTTTTTTTAATTTTTTTTTTTATTTCTAAGTCTTGGTTTTATAAGATGGACATAGTGTGTTCCACGTTCCCTTGGTTGGCCAGTCAGCGCCAGGTAAGGAATACTGTTCAGAAAGGAACATAAATTGCAGTTTCACAGTGAGTAGCGAAGGACGTCCACCTCCCAACCTTCCAAGAAGTCCACTGTATTTTGAAACCAAGTTTTTGCGTATGGATTTATTTCTGCTCTGTTTTACGAGGGAGTCTTCGCCAAAATGCTGCTGTAATTGTCCACTGTGGTTCATTTCCAGCCCTTCGTTGGCAGTGAGTGTTTTCTGAGGTATTTGTCGCGTGTTTGCCCGGGCAGCTCGGCTCCGGACCAGGGCCACGTGCTCAGGTGTGCGACAGAAGAGTGCAACAAAAAGGGCATTCACGGGGAATTTAGCTAATTTTCCTTAAATCCATAGTGCATTTTGTTAAGTAACAYGTGCTTGGTTTGATTTTTTCCACCAGTTATCTCGGTGCAGATGAGTTTGAGTGTGTCTGCTCTTTGGCAGCTGCCTTTCCAGCTCAGCAAAACTCCCTCATTTCAGTTTTGAGGCTGAAGCAGCTGGAAGCTGGGGAAGGGATGGGAAGGGAAGGGAAACCCTCCTTGGGTGTCACTCCTCTGGTTTCCTCAAGCCTAAAGGCAGCTGAGAAGGTCCTGATGGTGACAGTGGCAACCACCTTGTTTCTAAACCTGCTGGACTGCTGTCGTGTCTGTGCCCCAGGAGTGGATTTAAGATGCAGAAAGAACTTGCTGGTGACTTTGAAATAAGGAAAACTTGAGGCAAGCAGGGTCCCTTTCTCCTCCTTTCTTCTTTTTTTTTCCCATTTCTTTCCAGCAGAATTTGCTGTATTTAATCATGCAGTTACTCAGAAATTTCAAAGTTGTACAAAAGATTTTTTTCTTCAATAACGTTGTTGACTTCCCATGATTATTTTAAACCCGTTTTCATTTACAGGTTAATATTTTTAATTAAAAGAACAATGTGCGTTTTGTTTCATACATATTCTCAGATTAATAATTTTTAATTACGTAGATGTTTTTGATCTTTTGTTGTTGGCATAATAAGTTTATTTTTAGCAAGAGTATTTTTTTATGTTACTTTTTATATTTTGTGCAGTAGGATCTTACCAGTTAACTGCTAACACTAAGCCCAGCTAGGTACGTCCTAGAAAATTTGAAGGGGAATGGAAACTAAGAGGGAATAATGGATCAGGAATTCCTGTGTTTACTGCTGTATCCGAGAGGATGAAAGGCTGCATTTCATGTGCTGCCTTCATGCCGTTACGCTGCTGTTAAATGTCAATGTTTAGGTTTAGCTTAAGAAATGCCAAAGGTCGCTGCAGCACTTGCAGCAAACTTGCTTATATTTGAGGGGAGCAAAATGCAAGGTGTGTCACAGGYTTACAGTGATAAAAGGTGACCTGCAGGCACCGTTTGGAAACGTCAGCCAGAAAGACAGCGGGGAAATCTGTTAATAGCCCCAGTTTTGTGAGACTGGAGAAACGAGGGYGCGAGCAAAACGAGCTCTGCAAGCGAACAGCAGGGCTCTGGCCTCTGTGTAATGAAAAGCAGATGCTTGTGGCTTGGGAATGAGGAGAAATCAAGCCGACGGAATTGATCCTGGTTCAGAAAGATGGGATCTCGCCATGAATGTTCTGCAGAGATCGTCTCCATCGCCTTGCACAAGGGCGAAATGCAACTCGAGGGCTGCTCGTCTTCAAACCAGTGGGACTGGGGTTGGTGGCTATGGGATAATACGCTGCAAGGGGAAGGAATCGCCATAAGATTCCTTAAATTGCAGAGTGATAAATGCAGGCACAAAGCCAGGCAAGAGGCCGGTAGAGCCTGAGCTCCTCCAGCCCCACGATGAGTGTGAAGCCAAACAGCTTCCTTGCTGCACGTGCCTCTGGCACCACATGCGGTCCCCATGCTGGGAGACCTCAAAATCGGGCAAGACTTCTGAAATTTCACTAGATTTAATTAAAAAAAAAAGATTTTTACTCAATTTTATAACTTGGACATACCTGTTTCATCAATTTATGCTTAATTGAGACCAACAGGCATGCTGTCTATGCCTTAATTTGTGCCTGGATTTAGTAGTTTTTTTCACTAGGATTGCTTTCATACTTTAAGAATGCGGCTACATCTGAAAGCAATTTTATTCTTTCTGTTAAATCTGCTTAATATTTAATGTATCTAAACTGAGGGGTTTCCTTGTGTCCTGCCTATCGGAGACTGAGCTGCTCATGTTACATCTGAATTTCTAAAAACCCAGTATTTCATAAAGAGTTGACAAATTCAGAGTAGTTGGTTTGTGCACAGAATCGAGTTCCTTTCTRTCTTTCATAGCCATAAGGTTACTTTTTTGGCCTACTTTCTGTGTAAAACGATTTTCCCAATGCTGTGGATAACAGATGGGAATTAACGCCATTCCAGGAGACAGACTAGGCTTTGACTGAACTTAACTCCATAGCTTAATGCATTTATCCCATAATCTCTGCAGAATCGTGCATGATGGCAACGATTGGGCTACTGCAGCAGAACTGAGTGTGGTTTTTACTRCTTCTTTGGTGAGAAATTAAGCTCATATTTCACAAGTGTAATAGCTATATGCCTATATATGCAGGTATGTAGTACATGTGTATATATATGTATTCATTACACTCAGTTTTCTGTCAGCTTTTGTGCTTGCTGATGTCCGTGGGGCTCGCGGGCCTCAGCGGTGCTGGTGTTTGAACCTAACTAGGGCAGAYGTTTTTAGATACAGACATTCCTATGTGGGCAAATTAAAATTTGGCCCTGAAGTGCGTCGTTGAAATACATCCTTTCTTCTGTAAAGGTAGATGATTTTCCTTTACTCAGATCCTCAGGGATCTAAGGTCTTGGGAGGTTGTGCAGCCTGTGAGAGAGGTTTTGGACTTCCCTTTGAGAGCATCCTGATGAAATAACCACACAGCAAACCAGAATTTATTGTCTTTTTTACCCACATTTTAGCTGCAATCAGCGCGCACACACACACACACACACATGTTAATGTAAAACCAGCGTGGGTTTATGTTTAACCAAGCTCAGGCCTGGTGTAGTGCACCTTGGCTCCTAAGACTTGGCCCAGGCTGCTCTGAGCTTTTCCTTTTTGAACTCGAGCGGGAAATTCAACTTCTAGCGCCATTTTATCTGCAACGTAGGTTTGGTCGGAGATCTCTTGATCAAATAGCTGGAAGGGGACGGGAAGGCAAAGCGAGAGGCTCCCATCTGCGGCTCTCATGGCATTCCCGTTTGAGAGGAAGCCACGTGAAGAGCTATTTTTTTGGTGCCAAAACGAGCAGTTTCGGTACCGGCGCAGGGCCCCCTCCCCCGCCCCTCAGGAACGGCGAGGCGGGACGGGGCAACGCGCGCGCGCCCCCCCCAGCGCGCATGCGCACGCGCCCYCCCCGCCGTTGCCAGGGCGACAGAGGCGGGCGTTGCCGCGGGGGCCGCCGGGAGCAGGTAGGGCGACCGTTAACGGCCGCTGACGGCCGTTAACGGCCCCTAACTGCCACCAGCCGCCCCCACCGCCATCATGAGCGGCGGGGCCCGCGGCGGGCCGCCTTCCCCCACCAGCTCGGAGGGCGAGGAGCCGCGCAGCTCCTCCTCGTGCTCCCGGTTCTCCCCCGCTTCCCGGCCCGGCTCCCGCAGCTGCGAGGAGGAGGAGGAGGAGGAGGAGCAGGGGGAAGCGGCCTTCCAGAGCCGCCAAGGCGATAGGTAACCTCGGGGTCTGCGCCCTGGCTGGAGGAGGGTGCCCGGGGCTGCCCCAGTGCAGCTGCTTGTTTTGGGGCTGCCCCTGCGCACTTGATTGTTTCCACAGGTTTCCTGGAAGGGCCCTAGGTTATTAACTCACCTGACTTCAGTGTACGGCAAGAGAAGTCCAGGGAGTTTGCTCAGATATTCCCAGAAGTTGCAGCTATGCAATGGGAAGGAATTTGACCTATTTATTGTCCCTCACGTTTCAAGTTTGCTGTTGCGTATCCTTTCATCCCTTCCCAATGGGCGGTTTTGTTCTCGTACTTTTCACGTCAGTAGCGCTGAAGTCAAACTGCAGCCCATCCTTGCAGCTGGAGCGGCCATCAGCAGCAGGCCACAAACTCAGGCCTATCGCTACAGTACCACCYGGCAGCTGGGACAGGGAATGGAAGACCCGGGTTAGGGCCTGAGCAGGAACAAGYTCAGCGAACTCAGACGTTGTATTTGAATAATGTTGCTACTGTGTTGTAATAAGCATCTTCCAAATGTTCGTGTAGGCGCTTCCGTGTGCAAGTGCCAAATCCTGAAAGGGATAATAAGAAAAAAACGCTTCTTACATAGTTGCTGCCCCCGCCACGCATGCTCAAACACTCTTGTTGTTGTTGTTGTCCTCTCAAAACTGCTCAAAAATTAGCCAGAGGCAGGCACTTAACGTGGGAAACTTAATATTCGCAAAAGACAAAAGCRGAAAACAAAACGTTGTGAAATGGTGTTAGGTGTTTTCATGCTTTTGCTATGGATTGGTGTTGTGTCTGATGGCTTCACTTCAGTGGATGTACGGTAAAGAGTAATCACGGTGTTTTCTGTTAATCAGACTTCAGTTCTAATGCCAGACATAGACAATTTGATTAAAAATCCTTATTTAAATACAAATACATGTTTGAGAGAGTGACGCTTTAAAGTTTGCTACTTTAATTACTCTGAGGAAATAGGTAGTTGGGAATGTGCTGGCATTTCAGCAAATGGTCCTGTGTAATTCAAGTTCAGTGTTGTTTAAAAAGATCTGTGCCCTGGAGAGTGACACTGCCRGTTAGGACTTGAATTTAGGACCGAGTTGCAGCCCCTGCTCTAGCAACATGTGAGTCCCAGACAGAGCACGCTACTGGAACAGAGGAAAATCATTTCTCCTGTTAAAAATACACTTTTGCCTCACATTTCTACATATTCAGCTTCTATTTTCCTCTGCTTTAACTTCATTTCCTCTGGTCTTACTGGTGACTATTAAGCTTTTCATTTACCACTCTGAATAATTAGTGAAATCAACAGCTTAAACTTCATAAACGTGTGTAATTACAGATCTCGGCAAGCGCMCACTGAGTTTTATTTTTCTGAACTYGTGTCTTCTTCCAGTACTTTTTCACCAATTGGCCCAGTATTGTTAGTATTATCCTGGTACCAGGAGCTCTAGGACAGGTTGTGTGTAGTGAAAAAATGCACTGAGAAGAATCCCTGCCCAAAATGTCAAGTCTGGGCAAAGTTTCATTAGTTTCCCAAATCTGCATGCGTAATGCTTTTATCCTTTTCTTTCATAAACTTTCAGWGTTATTTTCCAACAAAATGTATTGTTAGGCATTCTTAAGTCACATCCCTCACCATTGTTATATCTATATGGTTGAAAATTGTCGCTGCCCAATGTTTTGGTCTTTATTAATATTTTAGCCTGGAAGATTGAGGTTGCAGCAGGTGGTGTGGGACGTGGCTCGGCTTGGCCTGTGCTGCCTCGGTTCACTTGGTACATGTGTGCCAAGGTGCTAGCGCATGTCTGGCCACACGGCACAGGGACAGAGATGGATTCTGAGTGGGAAACAGCCCTTTCCTGGATTCCTTTCAACCTGGATCAGATTCAGTGGACTTTCCCCAGTGTGACCAGTGAGCGGTCACAGTAACACACGCAGGTGTAAAACAGTAGAGTAGAGCAGGCCAAAGCTTCGCCCTGATGTTGTTTTTAAGCATTCTGTGCCACAGAGAAACTTCCCTAGGGTTACTGGGGCATTAAATATTTTTCTGTAGAATTCTGCTATTCTTTGTGTGCTGTTCTTTTTTACACTAAAAAAAAAAAAAAGAGGTATCTTGCACTTAAAAGATTAAATTCAGGCGTGTTAACGTATGTGTTTGGATGCTGGTTTTGTAGCTTGAATTAAGCAAATAGGATTACTCACAGTAATAAAGTATGCAGATAAGTACTTCCAGAGCCCATATATTCATATAAAATACAAATGCAAAGTCTAGTTTCGCTGTTGACTCTATTGTTAAGGATTTTTTCTGTATAACCTAGAAGCAATTATAAAGAAATCCAGTGGCATGTTTTCAGTTTTGGTCAATACAGAGCCTAAAATACATTTTTACTTAYGAGATAGTATGTATATGGAACATTATAAAAGACTTTTTTTGACCTGGGGCTAGGATTGCTGCATTATTGTGAATTACGCAAGCTGTCCTATTAAGAGTTTAACAGAACCTTATATAACATGAGCAAGTAGTGTGTACAAGTTGTATTTCTTAAGTGTATTTCCTCTGAATGTTTTCCGGGGAGACAGATTAGCTCTCCACTAAGGCGGTTCTGTTCTCAGTTCCAATGCTCTTGGTGACCAAGGATAGAATACGGACATGAAATTTCAAGAAAGAAGGAAGGTGACTCTTTGATATTTCAGCTGCTARTTTTTATTTAGTTTCTAACAGGTAAAACTTCAGTCCGCCCCACAGTTTGGAACAGGAAAAGAATTGCTAACAAGCTAGAGTATAGTAAACAGAGCATAAGGGGAGTAGTCACAGATGTCATACAAATGATGTGCTTTTACGATATTACCAGACAAGCAGAAAAATAATGTAGTTGTTCAGAGTACCTTATGTAAAYCAAAAGTCATTATTGGAGGCAATAGCTCTTGCTAACTTTGAAATGGAATTGGAGTTAATATTCCATTTTTATTTCAGAAGGGTTGAGGACTGTGAGATAATAGGAGGAAGAAGTCATTCCCCTTTGAAAGATAACCTTTCACCATGGGAAGAGTGGTTCATCTGCAAAGAGAGAGAACTACGCATCCGTTTRCAAGCTAGAGCTCTGGAGGTGAATATTCTGATTGCTTTCTGTTAGACCATCAAACTACCAGGCACCAGAATGCATATGTATTTTTTTCTTTCAGTTGTGAGAAACAAATATTTTTGTCTGTTTTTTAAAATGTCTTTGGGCATCCCTAGTGTTTGGTTGTGCTAATGTGATTCATCAGCATCTCTGATGTGCGTTTTCTTTTGCTAATGTTACGCTTCATCGAAGTGGCGCCGGGTACTATTTTGCTTATGCAACTGTTAGGTAATGGTTCGAGTTGAAATGGTTAAAGCGTCTGTATGTAATTGGTACCTTGATTTTCATCACAGGTACAAATGCCTGTGTGTAGGCAGTAAAACACGGCAGGGCGTGTGCTGGGTGTAATCTGTCAGCCTGCTTGGCTAGATACAAGCCACGATGTTGTTAGCCTCTTAGGTGTGGAGTTATACAACTGTTTGCGTTTTCCCAGGATATCGTCCCCATCCCGGCATWGCTCTCCCGCCTTCCATTTTTTGCCCACCAAATGAACCATTCTTGAGTAGTGGGGCCASGACACAATTAAGGGAGCGAGCTGTATCTTTTCTTGATTAATATGTTTGCAGTTGATTAAATGATACTATTGTTTAAAAACAAATTGGAAGTATTGGGTAGTGGCTAGAACAATCACATCAAAACTTGGCCCATTTCTCCTTCTAGTTACTGATTTACCGTGTGACCTTGAGCAATGTCCTGAGCTTTTTGTGATTCACTAGATCCGTGAAGTGGCCCAACTCAGAGCTCTCTGTAGGTTACCCTTTGCTGCTACAACATCCATCACTGGAAGCTTCTAGAGCAAGGCTGGGAGATCAGACATTCAGAGGTGACACTAAAAGAGGTTTAGACTTGAGGAATGTGTTCTGAACTGCTAATATTCACCACCCATTTTACAACTTCCCTTTAGAATTTAATTTAATTTTAATTTTTGCTGTTTTGATTTCTGAGTACAAAAATGAGCTAAGCTAATTTCTGGTATCATATAAAAAATGTGGTTTGTGGATGATCTTCTCATGTGGTCTTGATGAGGAACCAAAGCAATTTTTTTTCTAATTTTCTAATTTTCTAATTTTCTAATTTTCATGTATCACCCAATTGCATTTATACTGTAACAAATATATTCTCAAAGGTGTCTCTCAAACAGATATTAAAAGCAAATACAGGATGAGCATTGCTTATAGCCGTGGAGTATGTAAATGGAATAGCAATATAGCAATGGAATACGTAAAAAGCTTTTATTTTTAATTTGTAATATTTTGAAAATATTTCATTTTAAGCTGTTATGATATAGGAAGCTTGGATAGTTTGTATCTGGAAAAATGCAATCAACTTATAAGATATCAAACGAGGACAAGGTGTCTATGTTATTGTATGCCTTATAAAGATGAAATACCTTTGAGTTTATTTCCTCYTCTTCAGGTTAAGGGTCCTCTTTCCAAGTTTGTTAAAATCCACAGGATTTTAAGTCATAAAATTCCTGTAACTCTGATACAAAACATCATATTTGAGCGATATCACATAACTTCTGCTGCTTTCCTGAATGCAGTGGCGCACAGGGTCTAAATTCGAAGTTTGGCAGAAAAGTACTGCCACAAATTGATATTCCTTTGACTAAAAGGACATTTAAATAAGCTGAAGGGTGATTTGTTTTCAATGCCTGGTTAAAATATGTGCTTCCAGTTTATAGCGTGAAAAATTACTTGTGCCCATTGATTGTATTTCATACTGTTGCTATGTTACGTATCCATCCTTAATATAGATTAATGAAGGAAAGCCATCAAATTGTTCAACTGTTTATGTTACTTTTATTGCAGCACTGTTTCCAGTATTGAGTGTATTAGTATAGGTGGTCACCATGGTTTTGAGAGATATCTTTTTCCTTTAATTAGAAAATTAATCTACAACTTGAGAAAACAAAAGAAAAGCAAGATTCTGAAAAGAGGAGAAAATTAGCTGAAGAGAAGCACAAGGAATGGGTGCAAAGGAAAAAAGAAGAGGTAACTATTGCTTTGACTGTTTTTATAGCTTTTGATATGCTTTGGTAGCAAACCTATGTAAAATTTGCTCAGGCTTTTTGGGTACTTTGCTGAAGATTGTTTTAATTGGTAATTGCAAAATTAAAACAATAGAGTTTCTGACTGCTTCCCCTCCCCCTTCCATGAGGTATAAAGGAATTTGTTTTCTGAATAGTCACTGACAACTGACCTTTATGTTGTCAAATATTACTCTGCTAATTATACCTGGGGTTGTRGTCTTCAGTACCTACCCCTTCTGATTTCCCAGGTTTAGTGCCCAAACATTTTGGGCAAAGTGTATGTCTGAACCGTGTGCAATGTCTTGTATGTTGAGAAGAGCCAGAAGGAGGATTTATTTAAGTACCATTGTGGACAGGCAAATAACATGGTAGAGTCTAGAGGGATAATTGAGGTATGAGGCCTGATTCAGGAAATTCTCGGTAGACCACAGATAGCAATTGGGAATTCCTTCATCCAAAATGCCATTTCTGAGTGGGATCAAGAGATCTTTTAAATTCCCTTGAGAGGATGACTAAGAGCAGGGTCAGAAGCAGACAGTCGTGATCTCAGCGGGGCACTGTGCAGCTCTGTGTCACATCAACGAGCCAGGCACACTGGGTGGCAAAAATGGTAACGTTTGGGAGGTCTGGGCTTGCTCAGACACTGGTAGCGTCTGTAGGGATGCTGGTTTCTTGCTGTTCCATACTTTTGGTTCTGGAAATTTTTGAACAAAAACCAGATGAAGTCTGATTAAAAGAAATACATCACAATAGTATTAGTTTGACAAAGACAGTTTTGATATTYGGACCTCACCTATTTGTCCTTGCTGGCTCAGAACTCTTTATTCTTCTGTTGGGTTCCATCTAACCAATAGAACAACCTGGATTTGGATTTCAGCTCCCAATTTCTTTTAGCCTCAATACTGACTGGAGAACTAGCTTAACCTCCCCATCAGCACCACAAACAACTCAGCTTAAACATTTATTATATTGTAGAAAGGGTAACTCCGTATTAAAATACACAGCAGAAAGGAAGAGATTTATCATTCAGCACAATGTCATTTTGCTCTGTTAAAACACAAATTACAACTGTCCAACTATTCGTTGGCTTGAAAGAGTTTGAACTGCCTTCTAAAAATGTCTGTTCACATTCCACATTAATGAAAATTCTTGTTTTCTTTCTCTGTCTCTCTCAAGTGTCGTCTGTAAACTTCCACTTACTTGAGTCCTCCTAGTTCTATGGTTGTGGATTTAGAGATGAGCTTCCTGCTCTCTGTTGTAAATGAAAATAGGTCTTTTGATGGTAGACACATGAGCCCAGAGAACAGGGGAAAAACATATTTGTGTCTGGATTTTTGTATATTATATTTTGGAAGAATAAGGTCATCCTTAGGCCATGGCCCAAGCTTTTACCAAAAGTAATTTGATTTTCATTTAAGTCAGATGAATCATTGGCTAGTCTTTTTCTGTAAACCACACTCAAATCAAGGATAAACTGAAGTTAAAAGCTTAGATGTCTTTAGGGTATTAACATTTGTGCTGCATAGTTCATACTACTTCAAGTTACCCAAAGATTATTTGTGGATGTTAACACAGAGTCCAGGATAAATACATCAACTCAGTTACTAAGAAGGTATTTACAGTTGGCCAAAGTTTTCATGGAGATCCAGGAGCACTAACAGGAATTTCTTGGGGAACAAATCCGTGATGTTTAGGAAAGCTACTTTATTTTTTTTTTTCTAGAGGCATCAAAAGGAGCTCTTTCTTTTGGCAAAGATGGCAGCCTCTTTCATTTCCAGGTACTGATTCTGAGACCCATATATGTAGACAGCATAAACTACAGTATCTTGTTTTTTWTTAACATGTGTTATCTCTGTGAATTCCATAAATATCTGTCCATCCGCATGGCTTAATACTGTATTGAGGAAGGAGGTAAGAGGTGGAAGAGTGTGCATGAAACTTCTTCCCTCCTCGTGAGTATGAGGTCTTCATGCAACTAGAGGAGAGGTTCCTGGGYGGTATCTTCACACCCTGAAACTGAAAGGACATTTATGCTAGAGGTAGAACATTGGTTTATGCAGAGAAAAATTCTACTCTCTTTGTGAGACAGGCCATTTTTCTTGTGTTTGGTTATATGACAATATTCACTGTGATGTTCTGCCCATTAGATATAGTCCTTAGGTTTCAGATTAGGCAGCAAAGCTTGAAGACTSTTTCTGTTAGCTGGTAGTTTCATTTTCTTATTTTATAATATGTGTTTAAGACAATATTGTGTGTGCATTTTTTATACTTCCAGTTGCATGAATTGCATGAATTATTTTTGAAAATAAAGGTAATATCRACTATTTAATATGCCTCTATGTGGTAGCTTTTGTGATTTAAAGGTTGTTCATGAATTAGAAATAACATGTCGAAATACTGAGTTGCGAAAGAACATTTTATCATATTATGCTAATATGATAATATTTTGCAACTTAGTGGATATTAAAAGCTTAATAAAAATCAATTATCAGGTGCTGGTGTCCTGTTTCTGCTAACAGCTTTGCAAATTTTCAGTAAGATACCAGATCTCTGTAGAAGAATAGCCTTGTCATTTGTGTTTAATGCTAAACTTCTGCTTCAGCATTACTTTTAGATTTATGGATAAAAGTGAGCAATTATAGTGGCACAATTATAAACACTCTACAAGCAAAATTTTGTTCCTTATCATGTTTTCATTATCAGCGTTAATTTGAGAGGGATTTGAAACAACCTTAGGACTGGACATAGATGAGCAAAGCCATTAGAATACCTCATAGTGTTCCCTGCATGTTAAATTGATTGTTAGATTGTTAATTCCACTATTTAGACTGCAGATTGGTAAGGAGTGCTGTGTGATCAACTCATAATTGAACTGTTGATGTGTAAAAAGAAAGGAACTGATATCACTGATCCCCTTGACAGAAGCCTAAGACCTGAATAGGTATTGAAAACCAACCGTTGTCTCATTTCATCAGGTCTGAATTAATGTTCATAAAAGCTTATTTTCTCTGTGTCTGTTCATTCTGTCACTTTTCATAAGTTAAAAGGTTTTTTTTTTAATTTTAATGTCAGTCAGTGCTGTTAGTTTGCATTCCTGTATCTATACATGTATATCCAATAGAGAAGTAACTTGATCTCTCTTTTGTATTAATAATTAAGCTGTTTTTGTACTCTAATTTTCTATTTTATCAATAGGATTTTAAACACGCTATTGATATCCTTCTAATAATTCTTTTTCTCATGGGAAAGGGTATTTTTTTTCCTTTAGGGAAAAATGTCCTGACTTCACTGGCAGCAGTAGATTCTTCCAAGTTCTTTGAAAGTGTATGGTTTGTTCAAGTTCAAGAAGTGTAGAAGAGTCACTTAGTGTTTAGGACTAAACTCATACTTTTAAAATATTGAGATTTATGTTAGACTTTGGAAAATTTCTAGCATATTCACCTGTAAAATACTTGGTGTTGGACTGATTTTGAAAATCTGTTTAAATCTGTTTCTGGTTTAGCATTGTCCTTTTTTTTTTTTTTTTTAGCTAGATGTTTTCTTAGAAGCTGATTTTATTTAGCACAGCAGTGTGGTTTAATATGTTCATACTGTAGATAAGCACTAAGTCTGAAGCCCTTCTGATGGACAAAAAGATAAAATGAAGGGCCAAAAAAGGACCTACTATGAGTGGAACGAACTTGAAGCTTTTATTGAAGCTGGAACCCAGATGTAAAGAATGGCAAGATTAGAGCACACAAAATTTTCCTGCACTATTTTGTGCTTCTATGCTGATAGGTTAATTTTTTTGTTGTTGTTGTTCTCCATCACTGAGTAAAGTTTTTTAAAAAATCTTGGTCTTGGAGTGACTGGGATTGATGAGCCTGCGCCCCTAAATGTGTTTTGAAGCTCTGCRTAGTGGCTTCATGGTGTCTTGTGTAGAGCCACTAGGTTTTTGCTTGACAAACAAATGTTACAGGTTTGTGACTGCTTAATTTAGCAAGCTGTAGATAATGCCTAGATTATTCCCAGACTTGGGTAAATAACACTTAAAGGAAGGAGACAGAAAATTCTGCTCATGTATCTTCAAGATGTTTGGGAATCCCTTCTCTGTTCCTTCCGGGGATTTTTTGCTCTTATATCATATCTAGAATATGAATCTAAATAATATTTAAATCCATGACGATTTAGATATGATTACAAAACTATATGTAGGTATAAGATATCCAACAAAAAATGTGATAGGTGACATGGTAGATGCACAGAGCTATTCCATTTGAAGGCCACATCTATTCAGGAAAAGGATTCAGTTCCAGGTTTCTTTGTGTGACCTGCTTCATGATAACTTAGTTTGTTCTGTTCAGCTTCAGGTCAGTGGAAGTGTCTTGGAGATGCTAGTGAAAATCTTTTCTTTTGGAAAATATGTGAACTGCTATGTGAAGTCGATTTGTATTTTTGCCCTTATTAGTGTTGAATTAATTAAATATTAGCTGCCTTCCAGGATTTTTTATTAGCACTCATCTCCTAAGAACGAGGAGCAGCAGGGAAAAACCCTTGCTAGAGTTCGGTTTCTAAAAGCTCTGTGTTTTCTAGATTCTTTGTGTTTCCCCCTCTTTTAGTGGTATTTCTGGAGGGAACTGAGAATGGATTTCATTTTGAATTGTTACGTAGTTTCACATTGAACRTTCTTATCTGCCAAATAGGGGCACGGCCTCTGTGTATATAGTTTGCAAACATAATTTGGGTCGAAGGCTTGCCACCTATCAAGAATGCTGTCTTTGTCAGCACTGTTTCTGAAGAACCACAGCTAAATTTGAGCTGCTTTCTATTTTCTTTTTCCTATTTTGTCTGAACTTTTGATCCTGAGACATGGAGTCTCTGTGGTTCCTATCAGCAACATATGAYTGGACACTTAAGGTCTTATTCCAAAAACTTTCTATTTAATACGTATTTTGTGTAACCACCGCTAATGCAGAATACAATTTGTTCTGTAGCTCGGGCATGACTTTCAAGCTTAAAGAGCCAAGCCTCCCTTTCTTTCGCCTAATGAATATTTATTTTCTGCAGGGCTGYACTGCTTCAACACAAGGGGTGGAGAACCCAGCCCACAGCCCGGTAGACAGCGCGTTCTCCGAGAGTGGGACACGTTTGAATCCCCTCGGGCAGAGGAGGAGGGAATGACACGGGGCTCCTCCAGTCCTAGGTTAATGTTCAAACAGCTGAGCTGCTGTTTGGAGCTGAGGCAGGGGCTGCTGCTGCATTTTGTGTGATGTCTGATCTGTGCTAGGGGCTGTGCTGGCAGCTTACACTTGAAAGAGGTGCCGAGTTCTTCACCCTTTTCAAGAAATGCAGTCCTGGGGGAAGCATAGGTATATATATAAATGCTGTTCCACCTTGAGAGCCAGCTGCATTAAAGAATTTGAATCTTGTATTTAAATGCCTGAGTCTGTCTTTACCTGTCTAAGCATTTTTGTGAATCCATATTAGTTTCTTGAGTATTTTTTCTCAAGCTTTCTTTGAAATTGTCCATTTTTTAGAGATTTGAAACACTTTACAGTCTTTTTCAACATTGTTGATGTCTCTCTACACAAAATTTCTTTTTTTTGGCGAAATTGTGCATGTGCACAATCATTTGCTATGCCATGGTATAATGTTAGCCTGTTGATCTTACTTGTCTGGACCTGTCTACAAATTCTCGTGTTGAGTTTTACAAATGATTTTTAGATAGTCTCAYGGAGGAGGAATTCAGTGCTTTGTGTTTCAAAGCAGCATTCGCGTGGTTACGAGGTCAGGCTCTTGTCACCACCAAGAGAGTGCTCAGGTGTCGATGCACCAAGACGGCGGAACAAACCAGATTGCTGAGGCTCTGACATGTGATTGATGGTCAGGATTCTTGTGAGGATAAACAAGGAAATTCAGATTTTTTTTTCTTGCCAAGTTAATAGCTCTGCAGTGGAGACGCTGGCTTGGTAGCAGCTCCGTGAGATGCACGGTTCTTACTGAGTCACCCGTCGGGCTTCCTGCCAGGCCGGGTTTGCTCTGGGTGGGGAATTTCCAAGTACGGACCTAGCCCAGGCCTTACTAGATGGGTAGGATCGCAGCCCAGGGCACTAAGCCCGCGGGCAGATTTGTATCCTCTCTCCTTAATAACGTGCTTGGGTGGGGTGGCAGGAGAACAAGCCTGTCTTGCACTGAGTAATTGGATGTTTTACAATCAATACCTCCATTTATGTAATAATATAATCAGATTTTAAAGCATATGTAAATGCACTGGTGGTTTAGTGAATAGATAATGCTCGTTTTGAACACGAGATCAAAGAGAATTTTTAAAACCCAATCTGACGACACCGAGCACAAACAAAATATAGTTTCCCTTCCCCCTCTAATATGTATKTGGAAAGGGGATTGAAGAACATGTGTATTATTATGCACATTCCTAGCATTTTTGATGGATTTATATAATGGAAAGTAATCAAGATGGGGGAAGGCTGGGGTGAGAGGAGCTTGACATGCAGCAGCTCATTAAAGCAGCTGGGCATGCACTGTACCCTCCCTTCATGAAGGAAAAGCTGCTTCGCACTGAACGGGAAGGGGAGGCGTCACTGGGTTGCCTGCAAAATAATTTCTAGGCAGCTGCAAAGCCCCGCAGTTCTGCAGGGAGCCTCCYGTTCGTGAGGATGGCTCAGTGGAGGAAAAACTTAGCAAAAGCCCTGGTTTTCATGGCAGTCTGCACTGTTTGCATAGGACCCCGCTCGAGCATTCACCTCTATATGGAAGGACCCGACTTCTTCATTTCTCTCCCATGTTAATTTACATGCTTTTTATATGTTAAGAGCCTAAAGACTGTAGCTTTGAACAGTCTGGCTTTGGTACCTTTTATGTACAATGGTATGACACAGAGTGGAGCAAAGAACAAAAGAGCAAAAATCTTTGTACACCTCTCCACAAACAGCTTTAACTCCATTTTAGCATGTACCTCTCATCCACCTTAATACTTTTTATCTGGCCCAGACTATCATTGTCTTGTGAAGGGACAGAAGAGCAGCTGTGAACAAAAGAGAACAAGATGCAATTTAGAAGGAGGAGGAAAAGCTTAGACAATTGGTCTTTTTTTTTTTTTTAAACTGGGATTCCACATAACTTGCCGAAAAGCGGGTCATTTTTACTCCTTTACATATTTGAACACCGAAGGTTCTATTTCACATTCAGAAAGCTCTTGTTTCCTTTCTCCAAGAGTACAGAAGCGTTTTTTCTTATTGTTCCAGGATGAAATGCTTTTTTGATCGATCTTAGTTGTGATTGTGGATGTCATCATGTGCATAGACCTTCAAATCAGATTAATCAGACTTTCCTTTTATAGTTTTACATTCCAATCCATACATGGAAGCTGTATCTTTGTGTCTATATATTCATCTCTGACCATTTTCCCTGCACCACAGAACAGAGTTGGCCGTTGTTTCCTAGAATACACCTGAGGTAAAATGAAAATAAAATATGAGGTGAAAATGTAATTCTTAGCTAATGTTTGGGAAATTGACTGCTGAGTGTACMCAACTGCTTGTTGTCTCAGTGGTACTGAGATTTGCCATCATAGGGTAAGTGAAAAGACATGCATCTGAGATAGATTATGGCAAAGAGAGTTTTAAAAGACATGCCTTATAAAAGGGGGAAAAAGAGTTAATGCATAATCTAGCAGCTGCTGCTAAAATTCCAGTATTGCCGCTCTGCCAAACACAGACAGGGTCACGCTAACTCAAGCTTATTCTGTAAACTGGTTCCTTCAGATAAGAAGTCTGCAGTTTAGCTTTGTGACACGACACTGGGAAAAAAGGAATGCCAAGACCAAATGAAGTTTATGCTTAAAAATATTTTGCAATGAGCATCATCATTCCCTTATCAAGATAATTTTATACAGCATGGGTAAGAATCCAATTGTGATAGCATTTATTAGCCGGTACTGTTTCTTACAATAAAAATGCCAAAAGCTTTAAAGAGAAAATGCATCCCTTGGAGATTATTGCCCCTGCACCTCATTGCATGACCAGCAGAAAGGAGCTGGGGTTTTGTCCCCAGCTCCAGTGTTGTGGCTCCAGCTTCTTTATGCATAATTGGAGCTTCCAGCGTTGCCATAAATCTGGAAGAAAGGAGYTAGGTGGAAACAAGCTTCTTGCCTTTTGTGCTTGAAAGATGCAAGAGAGGAAGGGAACTGCAGTCCTGTTCTCCTTGTAATTGTGTTTTTCCTCTTATACATAAAGGTCCTATTTTTAAGACTAAGTTTTAAAAGAGTCTGCAATACTGCCTTCTTCCCACCCGCCCCCCCCTTTTTTTCTTTTCTCTCCAGGGTTATGGTGAATTTTTTTTTTGTAGTTCTCTATGTTATCACAAGAAATATATTGAAAAATTTAGATTTTGTTTCTTTGATCTCTTTCACTTAGGAAAGAAGGGAAAGGGAACGAAAGCTGAGCAAAGAAATGGCAGAAAAGGCCACCAAGGAACTAGAAAAAATGCAGTTACAAGAAAAGGCCAAAGAAAAGTATAAAGAATGGTTAAAGAAGAAAAGAGCTGAAGAGTCAGAAAAGAAGAAGAAAGAGAAGGTATTCGTCACTTATTTTGGATGAGGYTCCCTAATTTGTAACTCACGTTAAGTATGCTGATTAATTAAATTGGTGGGAATTCATCAAATGTCCATGTTCTGCATGAAGAACGTTTTGTAAAGTTGTAACRTTAGTGTTGAAGACATTGAGAGACGGCTGGTAAAACAAGATGTGTTTTAACACACTCTTTATTCTTCCTTAGAAAGCTCTTTTTCATATTGATTAATCACTTCTTTAGAGCAAGTTTAAAAGATCCTTCATGTGTCAGGCTCACTAAGAAGCTTCTTAAAATACAGGCTTTTAGGTCTGCTGTTTCCCTCGGGTGAGCACTGTAGCAAAACCACGGTTTCATGCATCACCCAGCATTCCCCTCAGGTAATACATGTGGGTAGTAACTGTGCCTGAAACCTATGAAAATGAAATGGGACTGGATCTGTTTTCCTTCAAGGCTGTTGCTTGTGTTTTGATTTAATTAACGTTGCAGGACACYTTATGAATGGAATATGTAAGAAGATAGAAATACTGCCTTACTATAGTAGTTAGGTATGAGGAGTAGCATTCAAGTGTGAGGAAGGATTTTGATTAGTAGTAGTAGAGCATTTATTTTTGGAGTGCACAATACGTTCATAAGTATTTYYTAAGTGTATATAATAACTTCTTTAATTTTAAAATACCATAAGCTATATCAGATCAGTTTTAAGGCCTTGATATTCTTAATTTTGTSGACTTRTTAATTATATAATTAAAATCTACTTAAATATTCTGTTCTGGTTTATTTCCAACTGAACAAAGTGCTACTGTGTATCTACTGAACGTCCAGAGTACACAGCACAAGGAACTTTTGAAACCCAAGAAAATATAAGTCTTAAGAATGGATTTAAATCTTGTCKACTTTCAGTTCTGTCKTCTTTAAACTGTAGTTAAGWTCTCAGAAACTTTCTTCACAGTATCACTTAAGATTGTTTAGACCCACTCGCACTGCCTGTACATACTACTTGTACTCCACATCCAGATTAATGATTCCCCAAATTGAATTTCTGCTGCGTGCTTAATGGCAACCCAAATTTAGCTGGGTTAGGGCTGTATGAAGATGAGTGAATGGGAACTCTGGGTGGCTGTCCAAGATGCAGTTTTTTCTTTAAGCTTACTAACTACAGTGCAATAGGCTGAGAATGTGTTTATATAATATATTTTGTATATATTGTACAAGATTTCGGCTGTAGGTCTTGTATATTTTGKTTTTTAGGAGAAGGAAAAAGAAAGGGAAGCTGAGCTACGGGAGAAGAGAGAGAGATCAGAGAAGATCTTTAAGGAATGGCTGCATAACGCTAGAAATAAAGCCCGACCTGTTTTAAATGGTTATGGCTACCCACATGGGAAGTCTACAGGTTTGTACTTTCATAGGCATGTACAGTGACTTAAATTTGTGGTTCCCTTCCCTCTAATCGTTAATGTAAAATGAAGCCTGTTTTAAGTTTTCATCCAGGATCTAATTTTGACACTTGGGAATAGCTAGCCCATATGGTTTAAGTTAGAGAGTCTTTTACTGTGAGATCCATTGTGTGTTTTTCATAGCCCTTCAAGTTATTTGAGAAGAGAAGAATGTGGCAAACCAAAGTATAATTGATCTTAATCTTGTTAGGTTCCTTATCAGGCACAGGAATCGCTAGAGCCAATTACTGGTTCCTGAGAAACATATCAGCCATACTGGCATCTTTCTGAAGTTAGTTTAGGTACCATCTTATAGTATCTGAATCCCCCCTTAGCAAAAGCCTTTTGGAGATGGAGAGCCTGATAAGAGCATGGCAGAAACCCAGTCTCAAAAAGGAGCCTTGGCAATCCTCCTCCCTTCTGAGCTAAAGCTTCTTTTCCATGCATCTTGGCATTTTTTTCAAGGAAAAATGATGTATGTTTTCTTTTTTTATTCATCAAATTAATTTCATAGTTGTTATTTGAATTCATAGCAAAATGTTTTGAAACCTAAATTCCACCCAGCCATTTGTTCCTCGGTTAGGATTGCTTATGGATGGTGACGCAGGTGGCTTTCGTGTTTTGTTCTGGCAACTCCTTCCTTCCCAACAGCTGCTGTCACTGGTCTAAGTGACTTCTGAAGAGCAGCTTCGTTCTCCGTTGTGCTCACGCAGTAGAATATGTCCCAGAATTTGTTTTGCCCACGCTTGTGAAGTATGTGTTGAAACAACTGCGAGGGCAACGTGTTCCTTCTGTCCTTGTTTAGCTTTCTGACATTGCTTTGTGCACCATAGACTATTAATCATAGGTAGTTAGTGTATGTTTCTTCTCAATGGGCCAAAGATTAACAGTTAAGGAAAGTGGAAAAATAATGTGAATTTTAAAAATGCGGTGAGAAGAAGTAATATTTATAAATGTCTCAGAACTTTGAACAAACTAGCAAAGTAGCCATTTTATAGTGTTCATCTATATGTTCAAAGTGCTGAGCATTTTGAATGTTGCACAGCATTCGACATGCTTTTTAATGTAAATGAAAGATTGATTGTTTGGTAAAGTGAGAGTCGAAGATTTATTGCTTTGAGTCATTTAAGTTGTGACCTGTTTGTTCTATCTTCCCTTAAAGATTCTGCTGTTTTTGCTAGTCTGGATTAGGTGCATAATTGCTTGCAGTGTAAAGCTTATGATGCAGGTACTCCTTTTTAATTATGTGTATTTTCTAACTATTTCAGGATGYTATGATGGAATTTCATATCCAACTCCAGCATATTGTAACCCCATTCCTTGGAAACCAATACACATACCTCCTCCAAAAGAAGACAGTAGTGTTAGCGTGAAGAGCAGCAAGAGATGTGTACGCCCCCAGTCACATAGATCTTCACCTCTGGTAATCTGTAAGCCCCAAACCACCCGTTGCGTAGCTTCCTCGCACAGGAAGCARTTGTAGTACAAAAGTCAAAATCAGTCTGAAAAGCTCAAGTGACCAGGGCCGTAAATATGAAATTATACGTCCAAAACAGTTTTAACAAACAAAGCAAAGCACAGCTTTTGTGAACAGGCTTTGTACTGAATGTTAAATAACCAGTCACCTTATTTTCCAAGGGTCTTTCGCATGCTGAGCTTTACTGAAAAGTCATATGTGGCCAATTGAAACGGGACTGTACTTTGATRCCAATAAAACATACATCATTGTTTCTCTCTTTCTTCACTTGCTTTTTGGGAGTGTGGGGATGAAGGATGTGGGGCTATTCTTTTGGGCAATGGGATTGAAAGATTATTTTAAAGATGCTAATTACAAGAACTTGGAAACAATTCTAGCCTCGATGGGGGAGGAATTGGAGATGTCTTTGGGATGGCAGAGGTTACACCGCGAGTGCTGCAGTGGATGCAAACAAAGTGGATGCCCTTTGTGCAGGAGAGGAGCAGGATTGCCTCAGGAATTCATGAGGAGGCAGCAGGTAAGGCTTTCTTAAGGGACAAACCTCACATTCACAGGCCCTGATGAGAGGACTTGAACCTCCCCAGTATTTGCTAGAAGAGCACATCAATGCAGCGGTCTAGGAGGTTTCTGGAGTATCTCAAACCATCTCAGATATCAAGTTTATGTTTAAGACCTTACCCTTGCCCTTACTCTGAATAAATTAGTTTATACAATAGGCTCATATGACAGTTCTGTCTAGATAATGCCAAATGCTAGCAGCAGCCTGCACTGTCTTAGAGTTGTTTAGTTCTCCATTCTGCAATGTAAATATTTGTGGACATAAAATACTGGCTTTCATCAGAAGAAAACGATTGAAAAAAATGCTCTAGATAGGGGGCGTTTAATTGTATTAGTTTATGACAGTAGTGGCTAAAAGTCTTAACTAAAAATGGGACTGCTGCATACTGCAGACCCAAATACAAAGTGAAAGCCCATTTTAATACTTGAAGGTCCATCATTAAGTTGACAAAATGGACAAAAGCCAGAAAGGCAACTGAAGGCAGAATGGAAGCGGTAACTTAGAAGCAGCAGGTCAGGATCTGAAACAGGTCTGGTTCTCAGAGAACTGGACTGATTTACTTTTCTTCTCAAGAAAGAATTTTCTGTAATCAGGAATTTTTAAAAGCTGTTCCACAGTTTCTCTGGACAGACTCTTCCAATGTTTACTTGTGATTATGATGAAGAATTTTCTTCTTATATCTCAATGAAATTTCATCTGAAACAGCTTGTGCCTATTGCTTCTTGCCAGTCTTCTCCCTAACTGCCTTGTAGGTATTGGGAGACAGTGATTAAATCTCCACTGAGCCTTCTCTTCTGAACAAACAAGTTTTTTTCAGCCTTAATTCATATGTCAAGTTTTCTAGCCCTCTAATCATCATCTATCCACAACAATTAGGAAGAAAAAAGGGTAGGAGTTGCTCTAGTGTTTGTGCCGTTGCTATAGGTTGTTCTATCTGATAGATTGTATTTTCTGGGCCATCTGATAGAAACATCAAAAATGCAAAGATCTCTCATCTTTTTGAGCTTGTCGCTTCCAGTATAGGGAAACTGTGAGTAACACATAGCAGGGAAATATGTAATTCACTTAGGAAAAAAAACAGTATACCTGAAAAATAGCTTAGGGATTGTTAATTTATCAACACTGTCATCCTGTGTCGTTGAACTCTCTGTTACTGGTCTGTAATTTAGAGGATGTTTTGAACCTGCAAGGGACCTCGCTCCTACAAAAGAAGAGGGAGGGACAGGAGCAGGGCTCTTATCTCCCTCCTTTGTGTGGATGAGACATCTCATACAAAAGAAAGCTCTTATTAACCGTGGTTGTTAATAGATTAACGTGGTGATGGTGTGTGACAATGTACACAAGCKAAAGGTATAAAACTGTTATTCAACAAGGAGAGCGTAAATATGGGATCTGATCCTCTGCTTCAGGCTTTAGCCATTTCATTGGCTTTAATCTCTAAACCAAAACTCATGTAGCTGTTACCATTCTCCCCCTTTCCTTTTGCAAAATGCAAGTGCTTCATTATTAGCCTTGCGTGCTCTCAATGTGACAATTAAACATCCTGTGATTGCACAGTTATGTGGTAAATGAAACTCCAACCTGATTCACTGCTGATAAAACTCCAGCTATAGTAAGTGGACCCATGGCAGAGAGCTGTTATCGTTTCCATATGTTTCTGGGTGTTAGACCCATGTCCTGAACACACGGCTCTGTTCCTCGGCTTATGACTTGCGGGTGTGTTTTGGTCTGATGCATTTGGCTTTTCCTGTAATGAGATATCCAAGCTCCACGGTGATAGGTCTGTTCTTTTTATTTCTGTAACAACATGCAACTGAAGTGCCAAAGATTTGTGAAGATGTAATATGCAACATGAGTGGTCAGTATATTAATTAGCATGTGCTAAGAGTGCACAGCTTTCTACAATCTAGTGTCAGTCATAGCACAGAGTCAGAATTATTAGCATTTTATGCTGTATTTGTTTAGCTTTTTATTTCCCCATTATTCTATGCATAAGTAAAACAAAGACATCTAACGGCTCTTCTGAAAGGCAACAAAACCTCCTAACATGGTCACTGTTGCAATCTAAGCATATTCATGAATGSGTATAGGTTGTTCCCATATTTCTAGATATGTCAAACTTTTGGTTCACTGCAAGGCTTTTCGGAGGCATAAGGCAGTTCTAACGGCTCATGCAGCATTCCCCGCGGTGTGTGTGTATTCAATATTAATTTGTTTGTAAACACCTGGGAGAAATTTGAAGTCTGTGAAATATGCTGAGTGTCAGAACTTGCCTGAACTCCCTAGCTGACATCAGGGCGGAGATGTGTGGTTCAGGAATGGGAACACAGCAGTTAGTGTTGGAGTCCAGTAGTTTTCTTYGAGAAGCCTCAGCCAGACAAACTGAGCTGAGCACTCTCTGAAATTGTGGTTTGCACATGTTAGAAAATCCACATCCCTAAAGCCATCRTTTCTTGTCTCCCGCAGCCCCAAAGACTGATGGTATTATTTTACATGGAAAGGTTTATCCCATCTTCAGAATCAGAACACCACCTTTCATCTGGACACAGGCAACTCTAAATGGTCATATAAACCCCCAAAATAGCAACTTTAAAACGAAAGCCTTTGCTCTTGCTTATCTATAACATCAAAATGCAGTTCTGTGCTAATGAAATGAAAAATAAAGGTCAGGCAAGGCTGATCAGGGCTGTACATATTGGCTCCAAATCACCRACCAGAACGGTTATGCTGAGCAAAGAACAATACTGCTGGTTGTTTTTTTTTTTTTTTTCCAGCAAGATGTCCAGCACAGCATAAAGTGCTCTGGCCTTGCAGCACAGTGTAAGATTGGATGCTACAGAAAGCTGTAATTTCACACTGCTGCTACAAATAATTGCACCATTTTATTTCTCACATACTCCTAAAGTATCTCTCCTGTAGGATGTACTCCTAAAGTGTTCTCTGTGATTTCTGTGCTCATGGAAACTCACAGAGAGCCAAGGTGCAGACCTTATTTGTTAAACGCAGTCCAAGATTTTGGTGTCTATGTCACTAAAAGAACACAAGACACAACCTCAACTGCCTTTCTCTGTTTTCATCTCCTTGTTTTTGTGGAACTTCTGGTTCTGAGAATTCAGTTCAGTGAATCAATAGGCATTCTGTAAGAGTATATCAGTAGTAATTGGTCACTGTTATTGTACTATTGTAGGACAGTCCCTCTATTAACGTAACATGATACAGCTTTACTGTATTATGCTCCACTTATCCTGCTGTGCATTAGCTTCTAATAGCATCCTTGCCATGTAAAATTTAATAGTAATATCAATTTATTAATTTGCCCTTATTGTCAAAGGGACTGAAGAGCCATTGGGGGTCGTGATGCTGATTTCACTAGGAGATTTTGATGAGTGATTCCGGATGATTCTGCAGTGGTCAAAAGGCAAGGCTCTCCCCTGGGCAATGTGAAGAAGTGGGTTTGTGCTCCGTAATGAAAAGGAAATCTGAGAGGCCTGATCTAGTAAAGCATATAAGTGCTTGATTAACTTGAAACATGTGCGAGAAGTCATTGATCAGGCAGAACTTAAGAGCCGTTGTGCTTTCCTGGATTTGAGGCTGAAGAACTAAGGTTCAGTCAGTCAGCTCACTGTGTCTCACATGTAGAGTTATGCCCATGTTTTTAGGTATAGAAGCAGGGCATTTGGGCTGAGCTGACATTGCCTGTTTTTACAAATGCTTGTGCTTTTGCTTGCTAGTATCGACCTCTGCACTCAGTGTGGGTTATTGTGCTCATGCATCAATTTTTCCCTTACATGCACTTAGCACAAAGCCGCTAGTTTTTGTGGTGTGCTTCAAGTCCGTGGCTGTTCAGAACGTAGTTCTCTTCCTCTGTTTCACATCCACGTTCTTGAACTTCAGGAAGGCAAAAGGGAAGTCGATTCAACTGTGATAAGATGCTTGGTGTTGGGGAAGTGGGTGATAATGTGACCGCAGGCCTGGTTTCATTTGTGAAGATAAGGGAGCCATAATTTAGAGAAAGTCCAGAATCCAGTGCTGATGATGTAGTGTGAATCTTTATTTATTTTGAATGGAGCTACTTGTAAAGTCCACGTTTGTATGCTGACCTCTATTTTTCCGTCTGTACTGGTTAAGCTGGGCAGCCTTCAAATTGGTAAGATTTTCTGTAATCTCCTGGATGTGCTGGATATGCAGCTTGCGTTTCATGAGATTCCAACACAAATGGATCTTTTGGAGGAAAAAACCCCACTCCTTCCTTTTTTGTTATTTCAGGTGGTCTGGGTGTGTAGCTCGTACATAAAATTAGTAGGGCTCTTCTACTTCAGAGTATAGTATTTCAGGATGAGGCTGTTTAAAGGGGAGTAAGGCTACTAAGCCCTTTAAAACTACTGCAGACTTGGCACCTGGCAACCTCCTTTTAAGCCTTTGACACTTGCAAAGCCTAATCTTCTCGTAGAGCAGTTTGAAGGGTTGTGCAGTCACTTAAAATATTAATTTACATGACGGGTAATTTTGTATCTGAATGCCAATGGTCGTTAATTTACTAATAAGCTCACAGCATGCGATTTCCCTGGGACCTTGCCCTAGAAACTGTTGCATTTGTTATAAAATACTTAAAAGTAATTACTGATTCCATAGCCATTGGCCTGGAAGGGAAGACGTCTGAGTTAAGAGTCTCTGATCATCTTTTTATGTAAGC